TTTTGACTGTCTTTTTCAGTAAAAAACTTTGGGAGGCTACAAAATCCACACAGCTAGAACAGTTTAGTTAGACCTTCACCAATTTCGATATTAACAAGGCTTTTAAGGATGATAATACCATTCTCAGCCTGGCATTGTAGAGGATTCTGGCCAAAGTCTCTGACAGATACCTTTATTCTATTGTATCACTAATAATCTCAAACAAAAACAACCTGCTTTTGAGAAATAATATCTCATGACAGTGACAAATAAAAACTTTGGTATATACCTTATTACATGAAATTTTCGCGACACGTTTATTTCGCGATTTTGAGGTGCGCATATTTCGCGACACTTAAATTCCGCGATTTGGCGGAAATTTTGTATTTTGAATCACTTTGACTTATTGTTCGCGTCACTTTAATCACTTTAATTTCGCGATTTTTTTTTAAATCGCGAAATTCGCGAAATTAACGTGTCGCGAAAATATCATGTGATAAGGTATATATAAGCAAAAAATCAACAAGTTGGCTAAAAAGAAACTAATAACTTATGATATTATGTCTGATACTACAATCGCATGGCAACATTTACAAATTTAAAAGTAGCATAAAAAGGTAAATAGATTCAGCTAATAGGATAATCTTTGTTTACAATATTTGCACATAAGAACGAGCACTTCATTTACTGATGACCAAGTTACAAAAATATCAGCTCTTTATACTGAAAGGGCGTGACGCTTATCGAAACTGAATTTTTTTAAGCCAATCGCAGAGCTCAGTCAAACCAAAACCAAATCCCTTTACAAAGTCAGTGTAAACTTTTCTAAGGCCACTGTCTGATTTAAAATTGCTATTTTAGCCTAAACTACACCGAACTAAGGATCATATTAGGAAACACCCCATCAGAAATATAGACTTAAAGGTCCATTTAAGGTCCAGTTCTTCCTTAGTCGAGACAAGTCAAAGATTCCATCCCAAAATTCCATGCTGATAACGTAACAATACACTGAGCCGTTAGGTGTCTGATTTGCTGTCACTCAATACTAACGGCGCAAAAATTCACAATACATTGGAAGCCTACAACCGGAATCACGGATCTTAGTAGTCAGCGGTGTGGCATTGTTCGGGTCGACCAACCGGCAGATCAAAGTTTTAAGCAAACGGCATTTTACAAGGCTGATTTAATGGCTCCTCAAAACGCTCATGTGCCATGTCTAAAAGGTTTGCGCTGACCCATAGCGCTGATAACATAGTAGTTGCAATTGCCAGTAAACTGTGTCGTTTCCATCTTCTTTGCCAAACAGTCATCACAGCTATATTCTGATAGCGAGTCTCGATTGCTAGAGAGACACTGGTGAAAAACCACTCGATCACCAGTTGAACTGAAGTTGCGATAGCAAAAGACCGTAACAGCCCTAAAAGGGAATCGTCTTGTAAGTATATATATTGATACACGTACAATAATCCGTTAACAGCCACTATAGCAGTTGATTCATACAACATGCTCATGATAGTGATATCAGCCATTAGTCTCTCACAGCGAGGAGTACGAAAACTTCCCCAAGGAGCTGATGTTCTTTTCCAAATCACGTGACAAATGTGATCAGCAACAACCATGGTGCTTCGTTCTATGACTTCTGTAGCACCGTGAATCAATCCAAGAACAGCCATGGATTGTAAACTGTCAAGATCTGCTTGCAACACTCGGAACATAATCGCTGAAACACAATACAATGGCGCTAACAGGGCACACGAATATCCCGGATGAGTAATATTCTCTTGCCGCTGAACAAGAATTCGTGAGACTACTTTGAATAGCACTCCAATGAGAGGAGCGAAGAGTGCGATTACCAGGCGAAGAATACTTTCCTTACTTTGTTTGTTATACAGTGGGTAAATGATAGTGACCACAGCAACGGCAACAATTATAATGGAACAGAAGGGAACTGTCATTTTTAAGAACAAAGCCAACTTCTCTTTGCATGATGTCCGTAGAGGACGGAAGTGATTCGTTAGAAGACAGGCCCCACAAAATACACTCAGAAAAAACAAAATATTGAGTGGAAGTTTTTGCACAGTAGAAAGCTTGGAATGAGATATTCCCTTGGCTTGTAGAACCACTCGATAAATTGTATCCAACAAATATGCAAGGCAAGCAACCAGGATAAGTTTTCGTTTGACCCCCATTAACTGACCTTAACGAAAAAGAAATAAGGAACATACAAAGAACGAAGGATATAGGAAAGCAGTAGAGATTATATCAGAAATTGATCTCGCCCATTGCACTTTTGCTGGAATGGACCTCTTTGGGTGAAATTCGCAGTTGTTTACAGTTGTAAAGGATAGATAGCAGATCAACATGAATACTGAGCCTATGATGATGGCAGTTAGTAAAGAAATTAAAAGTCCAATGTACATTGATTTACAAACTGTTCGGAGAGCGGATGGTCTGAGTCGCTTCCAAGCCATGGCTTCGATTTCGTCTTCGTGATCTTCTTGTGTTTCGTCGTTTTCCTCTATTACGCACGCGTTCATAACTCTCATTTCATGGCTGTTAGACCACGCTCGATAGTCCAAGCTTGTGGCTTGTCTGTCGCTGTATTCTTGATAAATACACTCCTCATTAGGATCTCCGTGACGATACCATTCTCGACCTGTGCTTTCTAGAGGACTGTAGCCAAACGATTCTGCCATGTATTCAGGTTCTTGTGGGTTGTAGTGCTCTGTCACCCCTCGTGTGAAACTGAACAAGATGTGGCCAAACACCTCGATCAGTGTGCTACTACTCATTGTGTTTAGTTGGGAGATCAGTTGAACAAATATATCAAAGCCCGACGTAGTGTATCAGTCAGTCCAGGAGCACGTTTCCTAACCGACACCTGGTTAGTGCTGATCTTAGTAGTACAGCAAGCAGCTCAAATGAAATTCGGCCGGTGACAATCTGCAGTTGACAAACTATGCCTTCCTGTGTCAGTTGCTTCCGTTTCGTTCCAAGCCTTTTGTGGAGAAACCAGCGGGCCGTATCACTGTTATGTCTGTTTTCTCTCTTACACTTATACTTTCGAAATTTCATTTTTTTTAGGAAAAAAGGTTGGTTGTTTTGCTCCACCTGTTAAAGTACACCTAACCCGAAAAATGTTTTTTCGTTAAAACGAATTCATTTGCTATTCGAAGCATTTGAGCGAAAAAATTTTTGAATTTGGTTGAATCCTCGATTTGCTATGGCCATTCAAAGTCGCGCTTGAAGTGTTGCGCGACCGCGTTTTCGGGAGTCTGGGTCGGCGCGGTTGCTAATGACGCCTACCCAGGAACCAAACACAATGGCGCCTCAGTCAGCTCTCTGTATTTGCTCGAGAAAATGGAAAACAAAACTGATCGTTCCAATATTTTTTGGGACTAAAACGTCCAAGTTTTGTTTCAGAATCATTTCTTGTTCGTCACTGTAGTCAAAGTTAAGTTTCGATTTCGAAGACTCCGAAATAAACTTCGATCGAGCACGTTTGACAACTGTGAACTCACTGCTTAGAGCTTTGAGAGCGATTTGCAATATTTCAAGCGACGACGGGGAAGACTTCTTTGCGGACGAGCTCCTTGAATATTAGGAATGGAAAGAAGTGAAGTGAAGGAGCAGGCAAACGGAAAGCAGGAAAGAAAACTAAAGGACTGCTTTGGATGGTAATTTTGTCACCTAAACACAAGATTCCCACGCGTGTTTATAGCCCGTTTACATTTGTCCTTAGCGAGAATGTATTTTGTCAAGGTATGATTGTTCTATTAGACCCAGTTTGTGTTTTACTTTCTCGAATGCTTCATGTTTATAAGAGCGACGTAAGTGTTGCAGTTTTCGAGACTTGATGACCTCCAGAACACTGGCTTGGATCGATTGAAAATCGCGATCGTGCGGGAAGCAAAGCGAGAGGAAACATTTCATACAGTAACCGATTTCACATTGTCACACGTTTTAAGTCGTAACTCCATATAACCAATGTAAATTTTTCTCAAAGTTTGCCGTGAAATTCGTCGGATAAGCAAAAAGGATGTGTTCCCTAAGCGGTCCGCAGATAATGTTACGTGGTCATATTTTCCACACTATTGCACAGAATGTTTGTCGCACTGCTGATTTCCAAACCTTCGAAAAACTCTATGAGTCTAACAATTTTGTTATTATGTAATTCTAAAGGATTAATCTTAGACTTTTATCTAAATCGAAAGAGAAATAAATGTTGGTTGGCGGCGTACAGTTGCGACTATTAACATATCAATATAATGGTCGTAACGCTTCTTGATTGATCACACAACTTTGCCGGCTATGTTATAAATACTGCGGGATTGGAAGATACAGGTTGTCGGTAGTATTTCTACAAACTGCTGGTTGGCTTTAATAAGCAGAAAATTTTGAAAATAGCGTTTGAAAGTCTGCCGGAAAAATTCCAGTGAGAGTTCTTCAATGGTTCTCAAAGACTCAGTTCGCTTGTTTCGGTTCGACAAAATCAACCATCGTTTACGCTGTTATTGTACCATTGACCGATCATCGCCAGTAAATTGTACAGTATATTTTTCTTTAAATCTGGGATATTGCTGCAACAGCCGATAGCACCTCTGGAAGGCGTTCTACGCACTTTTCGAATGTGTATTGCACCTGAAGGAAATGAGAGGACATGAGATATTCAACCTTCCTGGGTAGACGTCACAACAGCCGCTGGACCCATTCCCCTCAAGCTCAGTCGCGAAACAAAATGGCGGTGTTTTGGAGCTATTTTCGACATTTCGTCGGGGCCCAGAAAATCGAAGATTTAACCCAACCCAAAAAATTTTTCGCAGAAGTATTTCAAATAACAAGTAGATTCGTTCCAGCGAAAAAAAATTTCGGGGTTAAGGGCACTTTAAATAAATATATCTAACTAAAACCCTAAATTTTCCAATTAGAAATCTAAGTAAAAAGCATGTAGCCCAATATTGATCAATCTATTAGCTGTTCATGTAAGGTTTTTTATTTGGCGAATCATAGAGTAAGCATTTTCTTGCATGTCTAGAAAGTCGTTTTCACATAAACTAAAGCCAGATCTTCGTGTATGCCATGTTCAAATTTTCAAGCCAAACTAGACGCATAACTGCGTGAACTCGGGCTTTTTTCCAACATCTTGCAATGTAAAAGTCGAACGCTGCAGAAGTCGTCTTTAAGCAACGTGAAAATCTCAAAGTTATTTGATAGCCTTTGTTTCTTAAATGCATCCATTATTTTGTATTTTTGTGCTCGTTTCTTTTGCAGTTCTTTTTTATTTGTAGAATCTTTTGCTTGCTTTTTGTTAAATAATAGTCTTCCTTCATGGTTCCATCCCTTTATAATTCTGTTTCTGCCTTTCATTTTTCATTATCCTTTTTCGTTCATTCTTGTCTATTGATCTCTCGTAAATCTCGCGGACCGACCCCTTCCGAAAATACTCAACATCTTTTAATGTGGGTCTACGTTGAGAAATGTATGCGTTTGTATGTGTTTTGAACGTTTTAGATTCCATAATATTCGCAGTCACCAACGAGACCTTAACACCATCCGCTATTACTCGCCCGTGTGCTTCAGTAGCGCACACTACGCATGCGCACTATGCAGATTCTACGCATGCGCCGTAACCTCAACGGCGATTTCTAAATGAACGCAAAAAAAAAAAAAAAAGAAGCCGAATTTTTACCTTGGGCGTTTCCTTCGGAAAGCCCGAGTAAAAAGTTGAATTTAATTTGTCGACCTGATGGCATGATAACTTGGAATGAATTTTTAAGCAAAAGGAACTGTGTTTTCAACGTGTTCTCAAGCATCTTCCTGTGGTTTGACCTTGGCTGCAGTTTTCTGTCAGTGGCTGAATCGAAGCACGTCATTCCTCTCGACCCGTGCGTCCGTGGATCGAAACTTACTTTTCTTCTCAGTTTTTTTCTAGCTTTTTTTCCAACATATGCAATTTTGCCTCACGTAACGCTTAACACAGTGAACCCTGAACACCTTTATCAGCGTGTTATTCATGTCTGCTTGGTTTAACAAATTAAACTACTTAAAGTCATGGTCTGAAATTTTCAAAGTGGATTGCCTGTACCCACAATAACTATAGCTACTCTTACTTTTAGCTGAATGACTGAATAATTGCGGAGATTCCAAAGTGCTTTTTAAAATCCTTGGTTATCTGTTATCTTTCAGGTGAAGTTGACGTGACTTACTGAAGTACACAAAATGTTGAGCAAGGTATCATTTTACTCGTTTAACGTGCGCAGCTTCCTTTGTCCTAATATCATAATTATCATTTTGAAGAACTATGTGATTAGCATTCAGCTAAGGAAGTCTCGATCAGTATCGAAGCTGTCAATAATAAAGAATCGCTTCATGCTTATCGTTTCTGCTCAACCTGCTTTAGTCAAGTTTTGTCTTGATCCATGGACGAGTTTGTTGAGCGCGAGAGGCGCATGAAATGTCACTCTTAGCTTGGCACGAGGGAAAACTGAGTGGCTCAGGAGACCTATGATATGATCAGCTACTTGTTTGAACTAAGAACTTCTGTGCCGGCTAAGATGGACAGGTATAGACATGCGGCTCTAGATCTGGAGACGTAAAATGAGCGTAGCCAAGAGTAAATCTAGATTTTCGGGTGCTCTTTAAACTTTCAAGCGTATCTATAACTCGATATACATTCAGTTAACAACACGAAGCAGTTTTCATAACAACAGCAGGGAATGGAAACTGTCTGGTTGAGTCTCTCTGTTCGAATTATTTGCATTCGTGCGTCCGAGAAAATTGGCATAACAAAATACTGCTCTGTTTAGAAAATCCACACAATTATTGAAACAGGTTGGTGAGCCTTAACCAATTTGGTCAGCCTGGAATTGTAGAGGATCCTGGCAAAAGACTCCGATAGATACCTTTATTCTATTGTATGAATACAGCCGGCTTTGTGTAATAATATTAATAGTCTCATTGCAGTGTCTAGTAAAAAGCTCGGTTATATATATAAAAGCAAAAAATCAACAAGTTGGCTAAAGAGAAACTAATGGGATATTTTAATATGTCTGGTACTACAATCACAGCGCAATATTAAAAGGTATCAGATATATTAAATAGAGTCAGCCAATAGGGTACGTAACCTTTGTTTAGAATATCTGCATATAAGCACGAGCACTTCATTTACTGATCAAGCTATAAAATTATAAGATAGTCGCAGAGCTCAGCCAAAGCAAAACCAAAACATGACAAATAATCTTTTACAAAGTCAATCTAAACTTCTCTCAAACTATTGATTAAAAATTGCTATTTTAGCCTAAAGCCCCAACCAAACGATCGCAACATTTGAACACAACATATCGCAACATTGCTGGGCGCAACGTGTTGCGCGCGTTTGGCCACCCTGGTCACGGCATGTTGCGACATGTTGCGACATGTTGGGTGTTATTGGTCAAATTTTTCTTGCAACATTTGTGGATGTTGCATGATGTTGTAGTCGTTTAGCCAGGTTCGTGAAACAATCTTGTGCCAGGGCATGCGCACTAGTTCGATTTTTAACACCCAACATGTCGCAACATGTTGTAACAGGGTGGCCAAACGCGTGCAACATGTCGCGCCCAACAATGTTGCGATATGTTGCCTTTAAATGTTGCGATCGTTTGGCCGGAGCTTGCAAATGCTGGGCCAACAACGTTGACATATGTTGTGTTGAAATGTTGCGATCGTTTGCCCGGGGCCTAAAGTAAACCAAACTAAGGATCTTATTAGGAAACACCCCATCAGAAAGGGCACACTAAAAGCCGCCGTGTTTTCCCTGATTCGA